TTAATATGTCGGCCTAATGCGTGTCGGCCTATAAATTTGTCGGCCATTTAGTATGTCGGCCTATTGCGTGTCAGCCAAATGTCTGTCGGCCGATTGTACCACACCCGTCATTTTTAATTAAATGTTTTAAGAGTGGTTACGTGAAAAAATTTTAAAAATATAAAGAGGGGTACAATCTAGAGAAATATTAAGCTTAGGCGTACAGAAGAAAAGAAAGGTTGGGAACCGCTGGTCTAGAGGTTTACTCTTGTCACTTACACATCATACAATTTTTATAAAATAATATTTAAGGTACAAAAAATTGCGAAATGAAAATGTATAAAAATATATAATAAGAATAGTCATAATACCTACTTGTGTAATTGTGTATATTTTTATTTTTTTAGTGGGCCTCAATGAGACAACTATACTTTTGAAACATTTCATTTGTGAACTTTTGACTTGGTGTTTTTATTACTCAACAACGAATATTATGGCTTTTTCGCCATTATAATAAAATAGCTTAAACACAGTTACTGTTATTTCTGTGGTTGTCAAACTGGGGGGGGGGGGGGAGATAGATCCCCAATGACCTTTTTTTCATTAATATGTGTAACAATTACATTTAATATTTTTTGTATATTTTACTATAATGTAAATTGATTAAATTTGGTTTTAGCATTTTCTCAAAACAATACCTATGGAGTATAACATCTATAGACTCATCCTAGTAACAAGGCTGTTTATATTACTAATATTTAGTTGAATATATGAAATATAAGAGAATTATCCTTTTTTTGATCGTGTATATTCAGTAACACGCAACAACACTTTCCTCACATGATCGGCGAAACGGCCGAAATGTATTATAATTTATAATATGTTTATAGCTATGTCATTTTAGTTGGCCGTTTCATCGATTATTATTAAATTTGTCATAACATTTTATTATCACAGTGTTTCGTCTTTCGTATTCGGTACACGTGTCTCGTACTTTGTTTGGTAATAATTAAATCGTTGTTCAGTCATTCCTTATACATGCACCATGTATAGTTGTAGTTCATAATTACAGCTAATATATAGGTACAACCAAAATATTAATTACGGTTCTTAAAGATGCTATTATAACAGCAGCTACATATACGTATATTTCCTTATTGTATTACACATTAGCATGTGCTTTAGGCTGAAAGAAAATGTTTGTAGTCACCTACTCACCTACAATTAGAATAAGTATTAAATTAACAGTTCAAACATAAAACACTTTATTTTGAACTAACTTTATAGATTTTGTTCATTTATTTTATAGTTAGTTAGTTAGTAACTAAATTATAAGCATGTTTGAAATGTCAATAATGTGCCTATATGATAATATATATGTATGTGAAATTTTATTATTCTAGAATCGTTTCAATAGCTCAACCACTATTGATGTTCATCTTGGGGTTATAAAATATATAAACTCCGATCCGACGAAGAACTGAATGAATAGGCAAAAAAATGATTTGTGTATATAATACATAAATTGTTATAAATAGAAAACTAACTAAAAAATTAATATTATGCATAAATATAAATTACCTATACATTATTGATTATGTAATGAATGTTAAAAAATGAATCACATCCCGACAAAATTATTTGACCACCACTGTCTTATGTAGGTAACAATTCTAAGAGCATGACTCGTACTAGAGAGTGTAGTTTATAATAACAGTTTTGTATATTTTCGTCGTTGCTATCTGGTATACCGAGAGTAACGTATATTTATATTCTACTTTAAAAATTTACTATCTTATTATTTACTTGTGTCGTACATGAAAATCAAACATTCACATTTTTCGTCCTTCAATTATAACGTATAAAAAATAAAAAATAAAAATTAGATACTTGATTATCCACAAAGTTGATAGTCTAGCTGCGATAATGATAGTCCAAAATTTCAGTACAACTATTATTTGAAGTATATGAAATCCTGGATGATACTGAGACAAATAAACATAAGTGCATACAAAAAGCAAAATCATCCGTGTTATTTCTAGAAATGCAGGGAATGTTGAGTTTATATTCCGATCTAATAATCCTGTTGGTTTCACGGTATATGAAATATCAATTAGTCCTATACACTTGAATAAAACTAAAATAGGTCTTAAGGTTATATGAAAAAGAGTCGTCATTTCAATAACGCTGTTTACATAAACTGAAATTGAAGTATAACTAATAGTATAACATAATATTTTATGAAAATATACATTGGAACAATGAAATAATAAGTGTACGCTCCAATTAAAAACCAAAAAATTGATAACAAACATCATCATTTAATAATTTATTTATAATGTTGCAACTTTGCATATATTTATGGTTGTACAAGCAAATATTAATTAGGTAGCTAATAAAACGTGTTTTACCGACATAAAATTATGTACATGGTACAAATAATAGTTATTTTATGATAATTATAATTACCTAGCAACTAAACGGCTATAAAAGGTATAACATATAGGTAAATATTTAAGTGATTATTGACTTTGGCGTTTCATAGCATTTCAAAATTTGGAATATCTATAGGCGTAAATTGTTATTTGTGTATAAATATTTACTTTACGAAAGCATCATTACGAATTGAAGGAATTCAATTAAGAGATGTCATGAAACAGTAAATGTCTGTTTGCTTATTGTCGTGAATACAATTGAATAATACGCATAAGTTAAATTAATAAATTGTATCAATACAATTCTGGATCAAAATATTTTGCATAGGCGCCGGTGTGTGAGCGGGTCACTCCCTGTGGAAAGTATCGTGTGGTGTTCCGTAGGGATTGGTCATTGGAAGTCGTTTAAGAAATATTTTCTACGATGATCTCCTGCAGCTGAAGTTCCAAGGAGAAGTGAAGCTGGTAGGTTTTACTGACGACATTTCGCTTGTTATCCCGGCTCCTATGCAAACTTCATAGATAACATTGGCAATTCAGCTCTGGAACTTGAATCGCAAAAACAATATATATTACTTTTGTTAGTTATAATTTCAAAATATAATCTGACCACAGAAAATATACTATTACACAATCATAAATTTAGTTGAATTATTTATATTTAAAAAATGTAATTTTTGTAATTGAACATAGGAGAGAGGGTGATAATCTGAAAAAATCACAAATGAAAAATAAGGATAACCATATTACATATGATGGAATATGTTTTAGTCATAGAAACGCATAAATGTAAAAAAATATGTTGATTATAAAGTTGACAAGAATAATAAGTGATTTAAAGTAGTTCTGCCTAATGGCTTATAACAATAATAACAACTATAAGAGCCTTAGACAGTTAAGACATGAGATATTTAAAATGGTGTTTAATTTTACTAACTCTCGGGCGACGACCATCTCACTTTAGTATGTTGTAAGAAGCGGCAATTCACAGCATAAAAATTCACTATGTTTAGAGGGAAGTATACAGTAGTGTGCATTAATCCATTGAAAGAAAAATTAACTGATTAACTAATACAACCAATTGTATTAAATTCGCCATCTTTGGTTTTATTAATCTCACTGTTGGGTAAATAAGTGACTAAAACCTTTCAGTTTTCCACTTCAATAACTATATTACTGCACAAAAGTAATTTCGTGATTTTTTGGATCTCAATAATGAAGGATTCATGTTCAGTATGATTCTTTGCTTCGATTTCTACGAGAGATTCAGTGCGAAGTTGTAACACAATTTTAGTCCAGTCTAATCTCGTCTGTGTAGGACGTTTCCACATAGTATACACACAATATTAAATTAAATGATTATAGAATAGTTATTATCATCATAGATACTAGATAGTGTTATAATATATGTTATGATTACCTATGTGGCTATATGCATTAGGTATATATACATATATATAGCCTAACTACGGTGTATAGTTATATATTATATATTTTATTATCATATTATAAAATTATATTATGTAGAATAAATTTATAAAATATTATAATTTATCACATAATACTTAATGTAAGGCAATTACACTCATTTTTAAAAAACTTGTTCAAGATAGCCTGGATGAGGTTATTATGGAAAGGACAATTGGAAAAGTATATATTAACATAACACGTCTACATATTTTAGGTGTTTAATTAGTTGAACTTATGTCTTAAGAGTTATCTTACTAACAGAAAATACTATAATATTACCACCAATTACAATGTAGGTATTGAATATTCCTCATGGTGAGCATTTTTTTAAGCACACATGACACATACATCACGTATAGTCTATTTATATCACTGTTTAAATCCTTTTATGTGTAACAACGAATGTTATAGTAAAAGATAAATAAATAATTTTAATAATTTGTAAAATTATGTAACTTCAATGTCATTAATTATTATAATAATAATAACTGCGAGCAAATGAATTACTATTGCTTAATATTTTTTTTAAATCTTTTTGATAAGTAGGATTTAGTGTCATTTTTTAATTTTTCCAACAATGGATGATTTTTCATCTGTATCAATGTGATTATTCCACTAATCAATAATACGAGTAGCTGTAAAAAAAGAAAAAAGAAAAAACTTAGTGCCTGAGAGTATGGTTTAGTACGTACCCCACCACAATGTTCCAGCAATGCCAGACTGCCAGAGTACAATATCGTTACAGGAATGACATAACCCACTCCCAGCTTTTCTAACCCTTATATCTCTGAATTCTTTTAAGAATTACTTTTGAAATTTGAAACATAAATTTAGCTTAGAAAAAAGTAAATATGTATAAACGTTAACAGACCCAAGAACTTTAAGTAAATAAAAAAAACAAATTTTACGACAAATGGACAGTTTTCGTTTAAACATGGCCGTTTGTAAGTGTCTGTTTGGAAGTAAAGAAAAACATTTTATTAATACATTAATCTATGAAAATATTTGTAATACAAATTAAAACACAATATCAAAAAATATATTTATAATTGTATCAATATTTAAATATTTAAAGGAAAATTTAAAAATGTTTAAAAATAACACTTTAATATTAAATATAATTTAATTTAATACTTTGGATGATTCTACTAAAAAAATATGTTTTAGTTCTGGTTTAACAATAAATTATAAAATCAATGATAATGTTCATAATACTAAAATCAGAGGCCGGAGTTATGTGTGACGGTGGGATGGTATCATTTAACATTTTATAAATCACATTTTTTGTCCCTTCACTCATTTTGTAAGACTGTTTAAACGAGATAGTATAAGAATGATCAAAAACTAAACTATAAACTGTGTAAATTATGAATTCAGCTCTCTAACTATTTTGAGCCACTTCGACCACTGTCTATAACAGTATCGTATGGTATTGTATCGTACCTGCTTTCTAATTGGTAAATTAATACTACGAGTACTACCAAATCTTATAATTTTTACTTGAAATCACCAAAAATATTAACAAAATATATTATAATATAATATAACTGTTATGATGTGATATTTTAATTTCCGGCCTGTTAAAATGAATAACTTATTTTGACAAATGGTAGTAAATATCGGTTTTTGATATTGTACTTTAATTATTATTGTTTACTATTTATAGTTATATTGATTGATTTATTAACATAAATCCAATTTATGGTTCCCGCGTCCAAACTGCCACTTCCAAATGGCTACATCCGTTTGTCTCTATCCGTATAACTTGACAGTAAGTTAGTTGTTTTCCGAGATCTAAGCTAAATGTTACTACATAATTATAAAAATACCTTCGCATATTGCAATTGGAAATAGATCGTGAACATAAAAATGTTAAGAACCCCTGAATTCAATGAAAAATGACCAAATAAACGAAAAAGAAATTTAATAATATATATGGTAAAAAATATCAGTAAACTCACTGTTGTTACGAGATTTAAATTGATATCGAAAAGTCCAAATGCCGATACTTGGTCCGAATCACATACCAATATTTGATTCATAAACATTTTGATCTGTATTTTAAAACATTAAAAGTAACAAAATAAAAAAATCATATGTCATCTAGATTCATGTTATAAAAATATAAAATATATAAAATAAAAATAAAATTACAATATATTTTACTTGTCTTTTTATGTCCAAATGTAAATTTGAAATTCGGTACAACCGTAGATATGATATCATCTTAATTCTCTGAAAAAATAATTAGCTATGTTTAATTTTGAAACATGAAGCATTCAATTATTTGTTCAAATTATGATTATAGGAGTACATTTATTTTGACTTTTTATAGTTTTTCTGTACGTAAAATTGTATGTAATTAGTAAATTTAAGACTACATTAAATAATATATACTTATGGAAGTAAATTCATCACGTATGTTCTAAGAGTTAAAACTAATTTTAATATTTAATCTAAGATTCCTAATTTAATTAAGTTATGGAAAAATATATACCTGAATATGAAAAGTTTTAGTTAGAAATAATATATCACTTTAAGAATATTGAAAAAACCCTACATGCTTTATGGTTGACAATATGATAAACAGTGATATGAAGGTTGATATAAGTATCTGAAAGTGAAGAAACCCAAAAGCAATGGTAATATAACTGAATATAACGAAAATATAACTGACAATTACTGTTATTCTGTATTTACAGTTCACACAAAAAGTACTAGAGTTAGTTCTGACCATCCAATTAATTCATACCATATATAATCATAATACTTTAGAATATAATTATTTATTACAAACGACTTTCATATTTCTGAAAATACTTGCCTGCAGTGGAAATTAATACACATAAATTAAAATTGATATCATTTATTTCTAGTTGAATGTATGTTTGGTTATTATTGTTTAGGTTTGATTATTAATTACTTTTCACAAATATCCAGAAGGTGCACTGATTTTCATTTAATTTTAAGTAAAAGTATGTTGTTTAAAATATTAATTTATAAACTAATTAATATTTATTTATAATGATACAATATTTGTTGTATAATACTTTATTCACACTGAAATAACCCTATTCACTAGTAATATATATATTTTTTTTTGTTATTGATGTGAAGCAATTTGAATTTGTCTATTTTATTATTATTATAATCATGCTTTATGTAAATTATTACCAATGTATATCAGAATTCTATATCTAGATAGTTGTTTTATTATCTGAGCTCAACCTAACAAACATATGGCTTAAATTAATATCTCGGTGAGCAGTTTCAATTACCCTTTGAATTACCTTCTCATTAATGAACGAAACAAAAATGATAATAGACATCAAAAACATCACAATTTGTGCGCTCATTATAACCGGTAATAATTGTTCCCAAAAATTGATGGTCGAATGAAAGCTATAAGATATTTCACTGTTGACAATAATATAAGCCCCGATTAGTAAATGGATATAGCTGGCAGCGTAGAATCCCAAAAGCAGCGGACCGTAACCAAGAGTAAACATTTTTAACAATTCGCAGAGCTCGGAGTGTAACAGCCGAGTATTTTCCATCCACTCTACTATTTCTATATGTGTCCATTGGCCGGAAAGGGGAATTAAATCGGCAGGTAGACACTTCCAAAGATCGTTTAACGTCTGGAATCTGACATATATGTTTTGAAGAAAGAAACATGAAGATATCGTAACTACATAATCCATAGCGTATGGAATATTGAATATTGCATGGTTGGCCAACATTCCAATGTTTTCAATTAAAATGGGCCTGGAGTACAAAATATGAAAGGCCTTAAATACGATAAAATACATGAAAAACGAAATAAAAATCTTATTCCAATGTTTTGTTGTGCACGAACGCTGTGGTGTCAACAAATTAGTTGAAAGTGATGTACATTTTCGATCAAACTCGATAATTCCATTAATAAATCTGCAAACAAAAGTAATAAAAAATTAATAATGTCACCAATTACAACTACAATACATTGGTCCAGAGGCAAGGAATTTGAGTCACTACTCTGTTTATTGAACAAAATATAAATCAAACTAAATCTATACATTTGTTGTATTATTCTTGATAAATACTCATTTATTAAATTCTACCTTCAAAATGACACCAAGATTTTAACCAAACATCATTATACAATTCTGACCAGTCGATAAAAGAATTGATTAAGAATTACACTGTAATATTAAATTTTAGAGTGGATCCAGTAGAAAATTAAATCAAGTGTTTTTATAGGGTGTCTGTCCAGTAATTTTCAAAATCATCGATAAAAACTAGATACAGTAAGTAGATATTTATGTTCTAACTGCTGTAATTCGACCTTGATGGACATTACATTAGTAGGTACTACACTTTTTCTACAATGGTGAACAGCTAATTTTTGGTTATGAACTGAGAGCATTTTAGACGAATTCACTTTTTCACACAATTTTCACTTTAGACAAATTTCTATAGAACGTTGAATAACAGGTATCTTATAAATATTTAAAGTACAACAAATTGCAAAAACGAAAATGTATAAAAATATACTATAAATATTGTCATAATACCTACTAGTATAGTTGTGTATATTTTTGTATTTGTTATATTGTGAATTAATTTTAATAATGGACCTCACTGAAAGAACAATTCAATACTAACTGTACTATCTATACTTTTAAAACATTTTCATTTGTCAACTTCATACTTTTTATTTTTATTACTCAACAAAGAATATTGGGGCTATTTTCCCCTCTGGATTACAATAGCTTAAGTACAGTTACTATTATGTTTATTATATAGGTAACAATTCTAAGAACATTCTCAGACTTGTGTGTAGTATGTAATAATAGTTTTATATATTTCTGGTGTACAGAGAGTAACTTATATTCATACTCTGCTTTAAAAATCTACTATCTTATCATCTACTTGAGTCGTACAAGAAAATCAAACAGTCACATTGTACGTCCTTCCATTAAAACGTATAAAAAATTAAAATAATAAATATTTACTTGATCGTCCATATTGTTGATAGCCTAGCTGCGATAATGATAATCCAAAATTTCCATATAATTATTATTTGAAGTACATGATATTCTGGATAATACTGATACAAATAAACAAAAGTGCATATCAAAAGTACAATCATCCGTGCTATTTCTAGAAATGCGGGGATAGTTGAGTTTATATTCCGATCTAATAATCCAGTTTGTTTCACGGTATATGAAATATCAATTAGACCTATACATTTGGATAAAATTAAAATAGGCCTTAAAGTTATGTGAAAAACAGTCGTCATTTCGATGATGATTTTCTACCAAAACTGAAATTGAAGTTTAATTAGTCTTTCATGAAAATATACATTGTTAACAATGAAATAATTTGTACGCTCCAATTAAAAACTATAAAAACAACAACAAACATCATTATTTATTAATTTATTCATAATGTCGCAACTTGGCATATATTTATGAGTTTATAAGCAAATATCAGTTTACTAATAACATGTTTTTTACTGAAATAAGATGTATGTATATTATACATGGTACAAATAATAGTTCTTTTATGATAAATTATCATTACCAAGCAACACAAATATATATCGATGACACTAAATAGCCGTAAAAAGAATAACAAACAATAATATGTATGTGATTATTGACTTAATCGTTTCATAACATTTCAAAATTTTTAGAAATATAATATGTATGTGCGTAGCATCAATGAACAATATAAATAATTGTTTCTTAATGATAAACATTCTTTGCAATGCTCTATTCATAATATTCGAATTAATTTACGTTAAAACAAAATATCACTGTTTATTAATTTATTATTCCTCATTTTAAAATATTCAGCATAGTATTGAAATGTATTATGGATGGTTTAAATTATAAATATTTACTTCTAAATTCTACTTCTAAATAATTTATTATCTTAAAACTAATATAATATGATCATTCCTTGTCAGCAAAATATTGGGAGAGAATAAGTAACTATTGATTTGCGTACCTATACTATTTATGGGAACAACTTAAAGGACTGAGAAACAAAAGATTGATTTGAGCCTCATTAAGAGATAGTTAATTACTATACGGTGGTACTAAAATGTATGTACCTACGTAGATTCGTTTAAGTGTTAGATCTCAAGAGAGATAGCCGAGGGCCGTCACATGATTACAAGACACGGTGGTGGTCAATAGTAGTGTACTGGAATCCATGAAGTGTTCTGGGTTATTTATTTATAATTGTTGTTATGTTGAAGTCTATTACTCTATTATAACTTATAAGTACCTAACTTTGTAGTCGCAACAATGAATTAATGGATATAAATACTCTATTTGGATATTATTATGTTTTCATGTTGACGAACGACGATTAACAGCAATAAAAACGTTTTAAGCATTTAAAGCGTAAGTTTTACACATCTTTGTAAAGAGGAAGCTAACGTATTTTTAAACTTTAATATTTTCATCTATAGGATATTGTTTTAAGAGGTAACCTAATGTATTATAAATTATAATATTACAATAATTTGTATTTTATTTATTAATAATAATAATTTGTTAATTACATACATATTTTATATAAAGTATTAAAGTTGAAATAGTTCAATACCTATTAAGTTATATTATATTATTAGAATTGTTCTCGCATAACCAAAATATGTTTTATACAAATTGTTGCTGTTTTTTTACAGTGATATTACAAACATTTCAATATTTTATATATTTTAATAATACTTTACAGTTTTAAGATCAATGTGGACGAAATTGAAATGGATGATATTTAGCCAGGTGTTAATTAACCAGACATGAGAGTACAAATTAGATTATCGTTCAAAAATAAATGTAAACGATTGGTGTTTACGTTATAAACGTATAAGGTTTATTTCTGACCAAGAGAGTAATTGTTGTTTGAGTTGGAAAAATTATATATTTAATTACTATTTACTACCACATCGCAACAAAAAAACCTGTGTAACGGAGATAAGCTCATTTATAAAAATGAGGTTAGATGAAGAAGTAAGTAATAGATTAGGTACCTACCTACAATCTACATAATACAAGCACAGCTGATTTAGTTTTTCAATTTAGTTTTCGATATTTTATTACGTTTTATGACGTTCTTAATATAACACGACAATAAATTATTGTTAAATCAAAAAATAATAGCAAAGAAAAATAATTATGTTCATCGCAACCAACTAATAAAATGTGAAGGTTTATTTTCTACAAATAATTTACTTGAAAATTGTACGACATTTATTGAATTAAAAAAAGTTTAATTAGGTATAATTTTAAATTTAATATAAAAAAAATACATATTTATAACTTTTTTTTTACAAAGTTAGGTTACTTTTATTTGTTTATTAAAATGTATCTTGTACTGCAAGGTACTTACTACCTATATAAAATTGTATTATTGATTATCCTTAGTCATTCCTACTTTTTAAATCAACAAATGTGTCAATACCATCATTTTAATTAACTTGTTGAGTAATTTTCTTTTCTATAGATATTATAGCAAGTTGGTGACTTCTATCTGTTAAAAAGCTTAGAATTTGCGTTTAAAAATTGAATTTTAATCATTCAAATTTGATGCATTCATTTGCCATCAACTATAATATAGGAAGGTATTTTGTAAAAATAATAACAATAATTATTATTGAGTGTATAAAATATAAATGACACAATTTATGTTTTGCTCATCAACTTCGCTTATTTTATTGTATCCATAAAAGTGGGACCTGACCAACTGTGGTGAAGTGGAGGGTCCCTGCAGGGCGAGGGATTCGTTCGCCCAGCCGATGCATACTGATTGTGCCTTAAAAAATTATTAGTAGGTAAGTTGCGTCCCCCAAAAAAGTTTAAAAAGGGGTCACAGCTAATTTTCATCCCGGTATACCTTTATAGGTAGAATAGTTGCGTCCCAACATAAATAAAGCATAAACATGGCATACATTAAGTTTTACCAAAGCTGTTCAAGTTCATTATTTTTTAACTCTTTAAGTTAAGTTAATATAGAAAAATGTAGGTTAAGTTTTAAGTTGAAAGTTGCCTATTTTTTTTTAACTTGTAAAAGTTACAAGCTAACGTGAAAATAAAAGTAACTTAACTTTGTAAAAAAAAAAGTTATAAATAAGAATTTTTTATATAAAATTAATAATCATACCTAATTTTTTGATTTAAAAATAATTTGTTGTCGTGTAATATTGAGAACGTAATAAACGTTATAATACCGAAGACTAAATTTAAAAACTGAATCAGCTGTGTTTGTATTATGTTTTTAGGTAGGTACCTAATGTATGACTTACTTCTTCATCTAAAAATGATTTTTGTAAATGAGGGTATCTCTGTTATACAGGTTATGTAATTTTTCCAACTCAAAACAACAAATCCGCTCTTGGTCAACAATAAACCTTATACGTTCAATGTTCATAACATAAACACCAATCATTTACATACAATATTATGTAGGTACGTTCTACCTAGTATGTTAAATTTTATTGACTTATTCTTTTATCAATATTGTTAGATTATTAAGTTCAAGTACCTATTTTGTTGTGTAATTAATTTATTTACTTATTAGCATTTTTTATTCATATTTTGTAGGTAAAAAGTACTATATTTTTAAGTCTATTTGAGCCCTTGCCTCTTTTTATTTATACATCATATTAACATAATATGCTTATCAACTGACGATCATAACATTTTAGGCTTTGCCATTTTACTTTGCCCTGTGCCACGCAAATCGTCTGGACGGCCTTGGGTAAGACCTTTAATTGTGTTCATTGATTTAAAAATTGTGTTCTCTTAAGCGTTAAGAGTGTGAATAAGTGGTTATTTATTATGATAAATATAGACTCAAATATCGTTTGAGATTTTGAGGGGGGACTGAAGCTAGCTTCTGAATTAAGCAAGAATTAATGCAATTAAGCAAGTAATTAACACCCAACAATTTTATTAATATGACATTTAGGTATACAATAGGTATACTGCGTACTTAATTAAAATATTGACGACAAATGAAACTTACTTATCATTTTTCAAATATAGGTACTATTTCATCTACTTGACTACTTATAAAAGCTTCCAAAATTATATTTATAATTTATAATATACATGTTACATCACAATATAATTAATAATTATACATAATTTCGGAAAAACAATAAGAATTATTATTTATTAATACTGAAAGTTTGGCTTTAGAGCAACATGTAACAAAAAACTAATATAAATATTGCAGACATTTTTATTAAAAAAAATGTTTCGGACACATTTTTAAAGAAGAATTATTCTATTGGATTTAGCAAATGTGTTTAATATTATTTCAGTACCTTTTGTAATATCTTTTTTGATATTCAGTATTGCTAAATTAGTAAACCATGCATCAGCCCTGAGTCATATTAGCTATGACATATGTATTCTCATAGGTGAAAAGTACCTTTCACATGTTGTTGAGCCCACTGGCAATGTGAATGATACTTGCATAATTTTAAATAAATTAGGAAATACTTCGTCATTTAAATGTATTTTGATATTTATATCCCGTATGGGCGTATAAAATAAGTATATAAGCCAAATGTTATGACAATATGAGCCACAAGTCACAAACATAGACTCTGTAATCAGAAAGCACTAATCTTAGGTTTTTGGTAAGAATTACGATTTACGATTATGGCTGCATGCCTAAAATGTACAATAATAGGTATATAACTAGTAAAAATAATATCACAACAAATACAATTTGTTCATTTACGAACTACATAATCATAAGAATACGAAAACGAATTTTGCATCATAAACTATAATAATACTGAAAAAGCTTAAAAATGTAGGAAATGTTTGGGTTGATTGGCATCTAAATCCCCCACTCCCCACTATTTTCGCCAATGATGATAACCTGTGATAATGTCAACTAATAATTAATACTTATTAATTATTATGTATACACACAGAAGGTTTTGATTTTTGTGTTTTATAATATGTTTAGCCAGGGTTCAACATTTTTAATCTGATTTCAAACTTTTTTCTTAATTTCAAATTAAGTATTTTTAAAGAAAAGTTTGAAAAAATAAAATGTAATAAAATAGATTACTAATATAGTAATATCATATTGTTTCATATACGTTTATTTCTAATTCAAGATTTACCTTCAAAACTATATACATTTTAGTGAATACATCTAAACAAGAACAAAACTATATGTGTGGTATAGTGTCTAAAATAACTTTATAAAATAAATCAATAAACTTAAATAAGCCCACATTTATATAGTAAGCTAACAAATATTTTAAGTACGTATATTGTAACAATTGTAACTTGCTATACTTAATTGAGTAGGTATATAATGTAATATAACACATAAATGTACTTAAACCCATATTTAAAATGTTGAAAATGTTACATATTGATCAAAATTTTCATTTTAGATATTCATAAAAAACTTGAACAACATGAGTACATGACAGTATGTGTGGAGTATAACAATTTTTTTTTAACAAATACTTTAATTATTTTTGTGAAGTTGTTAAGCATAATAGTCTAATATACATATTATGTTAAATTTAAGTTTATGATAAAATCTAATAAATTCAGAATATTTAAGCTCTATCAGCATCAATAGCATTTTGAAGTTCTTGAAAGTGATTTCTATCCCGTGTCTACAAATATTTGACATTTATGACTGGTATAAAATACCTTGACATAATGGGCAGTTATCCTAAAACAAAAAAAAAATTATAAAACATAGAAAATAAATAATTTATTCACAATTTAATTAATAAAACTATTTCTATGTGATTTAAATTTGTTATCAATAGACTAAATTAGTGGTTCCCAAATATTTTTTCATTATGGCTCACGTGACTATGTGTAATAATATAACGGTGTGTCCTATGTGTAAATTATAAATTGCTCGTAAATGGAGCAGTGTACAATGTGCTACATGATGGTGTAACACATTTGAAAAGTTCAAATATGGATAAAGATAGTCTTTAAAAACCTTAAAACTAAATAAAACTAAATATACAATTGTTCAGAGTACTCCAACTAAATTAAAATTGGACTACATGAATACATGATGTGGTGAAACACGATTGCGGACGCTTTACCTTTTTTACAACACGATTGCGGACTGTATGACAAAAGGTATTATTGTATACCCACAAAATTAGACGATTTTGGTCTACATTTTGCGAAACGTGGGCGAGTTGTGTGACGTAGTCTATCTCTATTCTTTAACGATTATCAATCTTTATGATCTGCTTTTCGTTCAGATATCTAGGGAGCATATGTGTAAGATATATTATACGTTAGGTTAATATTTTATAAAAAATTGTTCTTAAATATTGTAATACGTTTTGGTGATTTTCATAATCATTATGGCTCTGATTATTTAATTTAATTCTATCGAAACATTTTTTTTCCATTAATTTTTCTCGACTTTTGTTTATTGATGCAATTATTGTCAGAAATATAACAGAAATTATTTGTAACATAGGTACTACAATTAATAATTTCAGGATTCCCACATTATTGAAGTATTATTGATAAAATTTTCAACATGTGTCATTCTCGTTGGTCCATTGTTGAACTTCAAACATTCGCAATCGTATTATTAAAAATTCCGCCCTGATAAACTCCGCCTGCAATCGTGTATCGCCGACATGATGATACCCCAGGTCGTATCCCGTTTCGCCGCCGAATTAATCCCATTTTTCCGTGGACCCATTTTACCGAATTCTCTGATTATTTTTATTTAAAAATATGATTTGTGATTTGTAAAGCGATAAAGTACAGATACTGTAAAATATTAATCATTTGAAACGATCTTAGTAGGTACTAAAGTTATAAACTATCTGAATTCTGAAGTTGTCGATTGATAAATCCCCGATGATTAAATAAATAAAATAGAATGAATGTGAATTAATCATATTATTATTATGCACTAGAGACTAGATAAAATAATAATGTATATAACTTATATCACTATGTATAATTATAATTTTAAACTAAGCATAAAACTATAATTCTAAATAGTTACAATTTTTATTTTTTTATTTCATACATTTTGTCAAAATTCGAACTTAAAATGCTTATAAAAATATGTGATTTTAATATTTATTAATTGCCATTGTCACAATGTATTGATTATTTTTACAACATTAGTTATTTAATTAAGCACAATGAATAATTTTAACTAATTTAAAAAAATAAATTATTATTATTATTATTTAATTATCAATTTTATATAAATATTATTAATTAGTATGTAATTTGTAACTTAAAGGTTATATTAAGTTATTTAACAAATAAATAAAAAATAAATTCGGCAAAATGGAATGGCAATAAAATATATTCGGCAAAATGGTACGGCGGCGAAATGAAACGGTGGCAAAACGGGAACTGACCGATACCTCAATGAAGAGGTATAATTAAAGGGTATATTCATGACATTTCTAATACTTTAGAAGTATATTTTAATATGTTTGGTATTGAAAACCCTTATCCTAAACCATGAAACCGTAATTTAGACTAGCCTATGACAATTGTCGAATTTGCATCAAAGAGAAAACGTAATAAATTTATTAGCAAGAGGTAGAATTGAATACTTAAGTCATTAAATCTATAAAAATGAAACATACGGCATTCAACAAAAACTATTTTGAGATTTGAGAATTTAAAAACTAGGCAATTGTTTTATTTTTAAAAGTAACGGCAGAATATATTGCAAAAAAGGTTAATGTAGCAAAAAGATACAGCTAAAATGTTTCGAAGATCTTAATTTTGTGTAATTTACTCTAACAACTGCATATTATTTTTTAACTTAAATCTAGACTCGTCTATTGGTATAGACTGTGCCACTATATTTACTACCTACTTAAATATCATAAATTATTGAAATAAACTTCTCGTATGAAATTAGACTTAGAGGTAATAACGAGCAAATTACAATTTTTGCCGCACATCGCTCACCATAAACTATAGTATAAACATTTTATTACCATCATATACATTATTAACAAGTTCAATAAACTTCCCTCAATTAGGTGGGGACAACTAAAATCACCAATTTAAATTTCTAAGTAAAGATACTAATGAAAAGTTTATGTAAAAGTCTCTCCAATAATACCAATGATACAATTTATAAAATTAGTAAAAATAAAATAAGAAATTCAATAAATAAAGTAATTTATGAACTTGAGGGTAATGCGTGTGTTATTAAAATGATAAAAATTCAATGTCTAAACATAATTTCTAATACATTTGAACCTCAGTCGTTTTTTTCTTTCTTCCAAAATACCTATCTACTGTGTTGTATTGATTATCAAGTTGTATTTTTATATTTTGTATTAGTATTTAAGTATTTAACTCTAAAACAAATTATAATATCAATGAACTTCGTATAATAGATACGAGCTTATAGCTCAGTTGGTATATATTATGTATGCTATTATGTATGCTATTATTAATGTAGTTTATTTTAACTATTTAATTATAATTGATTTGAAATAAATAAATATATTGAGCCTATGTTAGTGTAGAATTATTTTTTAGTATCCGACTTAAAATGTTGTTTTTACTACTTCCTCGAATTATCAGTTTTTAAAAATCAAATACAAATATTTGGACATTTATTTGAAAATTTATTTGAAATGTACTAATCAATATTCAATTTATTCTTCCTTATTTCTTATATTCAAATAATAACTCAAGTTTGACTCATTTTATAATTATAATTAACCTAATAAAAAACTATTAAATAATTATTTACTTTTAAATTAAGCCATTTACGCAGACATATACTGTGGAAATAATGATTGCAATTGGTAATTTTTGCCGAATCCATATTATGCTGACATATAGAACAAACGTCATCAAACTCAGACAGTTGAACACTAGTTGCGTCAGCTAACGATTCAACTCTTCTTACAGCTAAACGACGCTTAATAAATACTCTCCATCCATCCCTGATGCTACGCCATATGGAGTAGTATGCATGTATACACATCCAGGGTGCGCGGAATATACTGCCAGATTCAAAAGCCACATTATAAACTCCACTCAGAAAAATAATTGTGCCAAAACAGAAATTTACCTAAAGTAAAAATGTTAAAATTAATAGGTGTTATGAAATAATTTAAAGGATTTCCTAAATTACCACATCACCAAATGATTTGATATAAAACTCATAATCGTCCAATTTCTCCCAAATTCTTGTGCGATAGCCATCAATCATATGTAATGAATATATAGCTAAAGTCACCAATACTTTGACAACAATTTGAATATTGAAAAAATACATTTCTATTGGCCAATTATTAACAAAATGGCAATACCAAAAGTATCTCAACATATTAGTTGAAAACACTATAAGAAATCCGCAAACAAAAAGAGCTCTTAAATGCCTAAATAATTTAGTATAATTTATATTAAAATATAAGTCATAATAATTAATAATTAACCCAGTACCTATTTATTGAATTATTACGATTAACACTCAAAGAGCTTAATAATGGATTAAGCAAACTATGGACATAAAATAGTAGAAAATCACAAGTAAAACAGATATTTCGACAGAGTTGTATAAAGCGTTCTTCTGGCTCTAAGATTGTTAATCCAGTTTGCAAAGCTAGTATAAAAAATAATATTGCAGAACGACTCCCAATGTTCACCTGTTCCACGTCTTCAGTCAACAGCACCTAAATAAATAACTGTTAAAACAACTGAAAAATTTAATTCATTTTTAGCATATGAATTTGTTCTTAGTAATCTTACCCATTGGAAGAATGCACCAATATAATGGCAAAAGTATGAAACAAAACTTGTCATGCCTAAAACTGCTGTAAATGTATCGCACCCTTTAGCTAACAAATATTTCACAGTTCCAAATAAAGTTTCATGTTTTATTTCCTTAGTTAGCAGGGATAATATAAATAGATCCAATAATCGTATAGCCCAAAATAATCGTAAAACAAATGGCATATTGAGACGTGACCACTCCATTACGACAAAATCATTTACTTCAAAATTACTGAGACAAAATACATAATTAATCAAATATTGAACAATAAGTATCAATATTCTACATACAATATAATAATATGAAAGTTATAGTTATTGGTCGGCACATATATAACATAATAATAATGTATATAGATTGGCCTTACTTGATGGTCTCTCGAAAATGAGTATATCCATAATAAATTAAATGTATTATTGTAAATATATTTAACCAAATTGTTTTCATCACAATGTACAATGGCAACGATGATGATAACAACATGATAACTGTATTGAAAATTCCATGCGTACCTGGTATTAAAATCATTAAAGTAGGAAGAATAAAACTAATGCGAACAACCTGAAAAATTAAATATATTATTTCTATTCAAGATGGAAATTAATTCAATTGGATTTACTTTATAGGTTGGATGATTTGTAGTACAGACTTGTAAAAAGTTAAATACTAATGATAGACAATACTGTAGTATCATACTACAGAATAATAAGAATAAGAAATTCATGATTTTTAATTGTGTAAAAAGACGTATAACATTTACATCCCCTGCTATAGCTTCGTTTATCATGACGTATATTTCAAATTTTACATATTTATCTGATAAGACATTACATATTTGTATGTTAGCCCAATAAGAAAAAAGTACAACACAGATAGAACCAACATGTAGGTACGCTAGGTATAAGTACCGGGCAGGTAGAACAAATATAAATAACGATAAACAAAATACTAGAAAAAAAAATAATACTGAATTAACTGATAATGTTATAATATTATTTTTAGTATCTATTGAACTTACTTAAACAGGATCCTATTATTTTAATAAATAATAGAAGTATTAGCTCGTAATATTGTGTGAGAAAGCTATTCTCAATTTGACTGAATATCCTATTTTCAAAGGTATTAGTTAAAGTAATTATTATACCATCAATATCTTGAAACCCAAAACTAATTCTGAAGATGTTATCCATAATAAGCAGAGGTGGAATCCTCAAAAAAGCACAGAGACTCATGATGATATCGTATTAAATGTTAAATTTTTAACGTCAATAAAACCTAAAAATAATAAATTACAAAAACTATGAATATTTTGTTAATATTGTTAAATATAACAGAAAAAAAATGTTAAATACATACTTGAAGGACACCGAGGAGAGGTCAATATTCAACGACCACAGGTACAGCCAACAATATGACTCGAAATTATTTGAGTAAGACATACGAATACCTAGTTTATAATATAATATTGATTGTAATTGATAGACTTTAATTACTCTGTTCACATAAAGCCGCCACCTTAGACGTCTATTGGTTATACATACGGTGATGGACTTCGTCCGACTGGTGCAGTTATAGTACTACTAGAAACTAGAACGAAGGAAGTAGGAAAACGGAAAATGTACCTACAGAATAACTCAACAACTGAACGAGTAACGCTGTCAGTACTCACTCCAGCCCGTCGATATTAAACAACAGGATTTGAAATTTATATCTATACTGAACTAATATATTCAGACAACATAACTGAGAGAGAAACGATGGTTCTCGGAAGCTTCTGAGAGATAAAAAAAATTAATATTCACGTATGAATAGAAAATGACGCAATGAGACGCATTTTGTGTTTAACAATTAACGATGGTATCAGCTGCTGTGTTGTTGTAACTGTTGCCTTACTGATATATGTATACAATGGCGCACGAGTCTGACCTATAGACCTTGTACTCGTAGGCAGGACATGACTGGTTGGCGGGGTACTGTGGTAGGTAGGCTTAGATTATGTACTAATATAGTACATGATTATCATGATGTAAGGTGGTACGGCCGAGAGAATTAGTGTCTATATTATCTAATCAAAATTATAAATTGTTAGGTGTATTACCAATAAGACTGCTATATAAAATATCGCTCTAATATTTGTTATTAATAAACTCATTACATCTCAAAGTCATCTAATAAATCTAACTAAAATTAGAGAGCATAGAGCTTATGATCTGCCCGTTAAGTATGCTAGTCTTCTGTCGACTATTTGGGTCCTAATTTTTTCAACCAAATGCCACTCACCTCAAAGAAAAATATTCACTCCGGTTTGTTTGATAAGAGAAAAATAGTGTATCATTGGTTATTTTCTAATTTCTAATCTTTAACTTTTTAACTTTAAATTTTTGTTTTAATTATTAAATCAATTTGTTATTGAATACTATTACGTATGTATATTTTAAGTTAATCTGGAATTTAACTATGTTATTATTCTTATATTTGTATCTATATTATTTATATTTATTTATGTTACATATTATGCCTAACTGTAATCTTTCTTTACTATTTTAATTTAATTTTATTGTTATCTTTCTTGTTCCAACTTCAGGATGTTTAAAGTTAACTCTCTACTTCATCACAAGCTTCGGTTTAAAGAAGTAGATAATTATATTTGTATGTTTATATATTTATTATGTTATATTATACAAAAAATAAAAAAATATTAGATAACAGAAATCGCACATTGTACATATGGATCAGTACTTCGTAATCGACTTTTATATTCCAAAGCAGAATATTTTTCTAAGTATTTCGACACATAAAAATCGAATTTAAGATTAATACCAAGTTAATGAGTTATGAGTATTTAAAAACTAAATGAGCGGAGTTGGGTGGTGCGCGATTACTCTGAAAAATGTTGGTCCACTACATGTTCGTCAGCTTATCTAAACATTAAAATAATTACTTAAAGTTATAACTCATGAACTACTAGCCCTAAATCCAATTTTTATGTATCGAAATACTTAAATAAATATTCTGCTTTGGGAGATGAAATTAAAACTGTATGTTGTCATACAAAAAGTAAAAACTTAAAAAACTATAAGGATACAAAATATTTTAAAATAATTTTTTATTTTTAAGCTTTGTTTTGTAATGACTTAAAACCTAAGTATTAAAATAGAAAATATTATGTCAGATTTCGGTTTTGGTTTTGGTTATTGGTATTTATTTTTCATGATTTCGATTTTTGTTTTTACAGTTTTAGCTGGTATTTAAAATCGGTATACAATGACAGTTTCAAGCCCTGCTTGAAACTTTGTACTTAAAATGTTAAAATATTTTTAAAAACGTTATTGCTTTTTGAAATTATAACCTAATGTTTTACTTTAAATAAATAACTCCGTATATAAATTGACAATGAACTTTGGAGTCAAATACTATATTATAGCATTCGATTTGTATATATTAATTTTTTTTTGAAATCAATATTGTTTGTTAGGTACTAATTATTTTTTTTTTAAGAAACATTTGACACGATGTTATTATAGTGCTTATTACACCTTTATTCGTACATCTGTTTGTGTATAAATATCAAATATTTGAAGTCTAGACTCTAAACCATAGGTCTTCACGGTCAATGTCTAATGTCAATCCCGGTTAGATAAGCTTATTGATGTTTTTAAATATTTTTAATAGGTAAATTAACTACTAAAAACAATTCTTATAAATCTTTAATTTCATTACCTCTAGTGCTCCAATAGGATTTATTTTTTTACTTGTATATTGGGACGGCAGAAATCTGCCCAAAATAATTGTTATTAAAATTTGGATTTAAATCGTCGGTTATGAATGTATGATATAGCCTAATAAATTTTAAAATATAAAATATCAAAAATATTTTTCATATTAGCTTATTATTTTTTCTATGATTTATACTACCTAATAGCATGCTCTTTTAATTAAAATTTGTTTGTATAATATCACGCTTGCTCTTTGCCTAGTGCAGTTTAGTGCCGAGATATGTACAATAAACAATGGTATTATTAAATATCTATTCACTAGTGCAGTGGCGTCATTTGAGGTGGAGCAGGGTGGACATTATCAGCAACTTGTCATAAGCGGGCCAATAACGCACAGGGTATGGGCTGGTGCAGGGTTAGTTTTTAGCTGTAGCCACAAGCCCACATTCATGATTATTGATTAATGTCATTACTATTTCCCGGAAGTTCATGCATTTGCATGTTTTTACTGAATGGACTAAAAAATTGCTAGATCAGCTACAAGTTTGAATTATACTTGTATAAATCCAAATACATTTTATTTTACATATAATTGCATATTTTGGTTTTTTAGCATATTTTACAATTTTTTTGTTATTAACTGCATATTTTAGTCAAATATTATGTAATTGACAAAATAAATTACATCTAAAAGACTCATTATAACCCCACGACGACCCTAACGGCTGATGGACAATATGTTTATTTTTAGAAAAGTTTTAATATTTTTCATCACGAAACGATACTTTAGTTAAATTTTAACAAGTTATTGAAAAGAATCTGGGCTTTAAAACACTATCCAAAATTTCAAAAATTATGTTGGGAGAAGAAATGACAATGTATAATTTACCTGAAGATTTTTCTTGTGATAGTTTACTATATTTTAAATACGCACCAATTTCTTCAGTTAATGTGGAGCGGAGCTTTTCGGTGTACAAAAATATGTTGGCAGATAACAAATTAAAATTTGAGAATTTATCAAAATCGTTGATTGTGAATTGTAATGTTTAAAAATGTATATTAATTATTAAAATAATGTTCTGAACTACTAGTCAAAGAAATTGAAATATAAATCGTGAGTAGTATCTCATAAATTCATAACTAATAATTTTTTTCCTCATATTTATAAGTTAAAAAGAAAATAAGGGCATATTAAAGCGCATATATCAGGATTTTTAAGTTCATAAGTGCATACATATTTTTTAGTTTTTAGTGCATCAACTTCCGGGCCCTAGTCATTACTAACTTGTTTGTTATGTATTTCTAATTTATGTATATTAGATCATTGAAAAATCATACTATCTAGTATCTGTATTATTAGGGTGAGTATTTAACTGAAGATGCTTCCGTGTTCAATGTTCATTGGTTGTCGTTTGGTATACCCAGCCACTGTTTGACGTTTAAATTGTATTCATTAGAATAGGGCTATTTGTATTAAGTCGTTAATAATTGTAATTGTAATATAATTGTTAGCGAGTGGTATTATTTCAGTTTTATTATAGGCTGGTCAAAATATTTGCCACCCTAGCAAAAACTCAAATGACACCACTAGACTAGTGTTGATCATTGCGTTATACATCTGAACCACAAATCAAGATACTATCACTGATAATTATTTATATTTTATTTCCTACTAAAATATCTAAATATTGCTACATTGGTATCAAAATTAGAATTATAATAATAGAAAAAATTAATTTTTAAGTGATTGGATGTGTGAGATATAATTTGGAAAAATTTACAGTTATAAATCCAGTTACTTACATGTTAATTATATTAATTTGAATTCAATAAAGACAATATGTTAAGACTAAGCTGAAATGTAGTGTTTAAAATTTAGGGGTGGTGATGGATCTGTGTTAAATAGTTGTACGAGTATACTTCGAATGCAGTTTTTAAATCATTGAATTGATCTCCTCTACTTTTTTTTTTCAAATCCAGTACACTTTTTTTTATAGATTTCAACATTATGTGAGGTTTAATTAATCTAGTAGGTATCATTGGAAATGCGTCTCCTTGGACATGTTTATTTTTGAATGGGTTATTTGGATTTTGTTTTTATTTATTTCTAGCTAAGTAATGGGTATGTTTTTCCGAGAAAACGATTAACTTCAATGACATACGGTACCATTTATATTATAGCTATACATACACAGTTATTGACTTGCCAAATGTAATTTAATTTCATAATTTATTATTATTATTTAATTTAAAATTAATTAATACTATTTACATGAAAAATGGGTTATTATCAATGAATATCAATGACGGAACGATACATATCTATAACACAATATAATGATACTATTTTTTAGAATTTTTTCACAATTTTAATATTCGACGTAATCGTGGAACCAATTTTGCGTGGATTCAAAATCAACTCAAGTCACAATATTACATACTACGAATTACTAAACAATAAAATAAGTGTCTAAATATTATTATAATCTTGTTGTGTTAATTATTTA